TGTGTGAATTGTAACTTAGCTGACAGGAGTGGCACACGGTGTGGTCTTCTGCTGCTGTAGCCCATCCGCCTCAAGGTTGGACGTGTTGAGCATTCAGAGATGCTTTTCTGCAGACCTCAGTTGTAATGAGTGCTTAACTGAGGGACTGTTGTCTTTCTATCAGGTTGACCCAGTCTGGCCATTCTCCTCTGACTTCTGGCATCAACAAGGCATTTGCGTCCACAGAACTGCCGCTCACTGGATATTTTCTATTATTCAGACTATTCTCTGTAAACTCTAAAGATGGCTGTGCGTGAAATTCCCAGTAGATCAGCAGTTTATGAAACACTCAGAGCAGCCCGTCTGGCACCAACAACCATGCCACATTCAAAGTTACTTAAATCCCCTTTCTTCCTCATTCTGATGCTCGGTTTGAACTCCAGCAGATTGTTTTGACCATGTCTACATGCCTAAATGCATTGAGTTGCTGCCATGTGATTGGCTGATTAGAAATTTGTGTTAACGTGCAGTTGGAGAGGAGTACCTAATGAAGTGTCCATTGAGCGTACTAATACAATAGAGCAAAGATAAATGTTAAATAAACAATGCTTTATGGTTTTCTGGAAAATCTAACAGTATTCAGGTACAAAAATGGAACAATCAAGCGTAAAATAACATCGTCAACATTATGAGTTATTTTAAAAAATAATCATTTTTAATAATGTCTTTATATTTTAATCTTTAAGAAATAATCTAATTCTGCAATGTGACTATTGCGGATACACACATTGCGATATTGATGCTCAAATGATAAACCCATTGCGATATTGATGCTCAAATAATATATTGTGCAGACCTAATGCTAAATCCTTGTAAACGCCAGAAATTCAGAGTGACCAGAGTTTGACCCTGCCATCAGTTGTTTCATTTTCCATCTGTGAAATAACAAAATCAAGCTGTTCATATAGTGCATTATTCAGGTTCAGCAATCTCCAGTAAAATTACAACCTTTTTGTTGAGCTACAGATCTAGTCAAGGCTGTGCATTAAAAAGCTTTGAAAGAAATAAACAAGATCTGAGGATTTTCAAAATCAATACTGACGTGGAATGAAGCTAGCAGTGAATGTAATAATGGATCGTTTTTACCCAGCACCATTATATCCAGTCCTTACATGTGATCGATCTATAACTTCCCAGTGCTTCCTTTGTTGTGCGTCAGTGACTTTTCAATGCCTTTCATAAAAAATAGATAAAAAAACATGATGTTTTTACAAATATGTCAGTCTCCTATAAACAAGAAGCATTTTTATAATCCACACAATTCCATCAAAGTTGTCTTTCAGTAAGGAATTAAAACATCTGTGTCTGACCCTAAACATTAAACAGCACATCTGCAGGATTAGTTTCCCTTTAAAACCCTGGAAATGTCGGATTAAAAATTCAGGACCGCTGGTTTTGTTAATATTTAAAATCCCATGGAAGTGCTTACAGATCAGGATGTTCAGCGGACACTTACAAACTGGTTTTAATGCAGACAGAATAGGCTCTGAGAGATATACAGTACAGTTGAAGACCAAATTATTAGCCCTCCCTCTGAAATTCTTCATTCTTTTTCAAAATAATTACCAAATGCTGTTTAATTGAGAGATTTCAACACATGTTTTGATTTGAGTTTCTTTCACCTTTGCCACAATGACATACATAATACTTTACAATACAAGATATTAGCAATAAAAAATTCAACTTAAAGTGCAATTTAAAGGCAGGTTGGGTTAATTAAGTAAGTCATTGGACAACAGTGTTCTGCAGTCAACTAAAAAAAATCTTAATATTAACCTTTGCAGTTAAAGAAATATTCTAGGCAACAAAAGTAATAAGATTTTATCCAGAAGAAATCCAGAGCCTGATGACCCACTGGTTAGCACTGTCACCTCACAGCAAGAAAGTCACTGGTTCTGGTACCACGTATTTCTGGTATTTCTGTGTGGAGTTTGCATGTTGTCCCCATGTTGGCCTGGCTTTCCTCCCGGTGCTCGAGTTTCCCCCCACAACTCAAAACATATGCGGTATAAGTGAATTGAACAAACTAAATTGGCCGTAGTTTGTTAATGAGTGTGTGGGTGTTTCCCTGTACTGGGTTGCTGCTGGAAGGGTATCCGCTCAGTATAACATGTGCCGGAATAGTTGTTGGTTCATTCCACTGTGGTGACTTCTGAAATAGAGACTAAACCAAAGGAAAATAAATGAATGAATGGATGAATTCCAGCGTTATGGATGTGACATTTGCAGAAAAACTTGAAACATACATTCAAAGAGAATCTGCATGCTTACAGTATATTGAAACATTTGCTTATATTTTCTAAAACAGTTAAAGGATCTTTAAAATATCAATCTGTAAACGTGTTTATTATTTAATTGGGGGAAATAAACATGTTATTAGTGGATGTGACCAAAATGTTTTGAGTTTACTATAACAAGATTATTATAGATTTGCATTTAAATGATGTTTTATTGCAGTACTATTTTAAAATGTGCTGTTAGTTTGTTCAGTTTTAGTTTGTTTAATTAATGGTTCTGTTAGATTCAGTTTAGTTTTCATATTGTGAACGCAATTTTGTCAAGTTATTTATATATTTATCAGTTTTCTCGCTACTGGGTTTTGGCTGGAGGGGCAACCACTGTAATAGTTGGCGGTTGATTCTGTTGTGGCGACCTCTGATAAATCAAGAGACTAAGCTAAAGGAAAATCAATGAATAAATTTTTAGTAATTTCAGTTTTTATTTAATAATTTTATTTCAGTTAGTTTAGCGACTGTTGTTAGTTTAATTTAGTTTTAATGTCCGTAATGGACGTCTGTCCATTACAGATGTGACATTGGCACTTGTGCGGCTAGTAATAAATGATTTAAAATATACTAAATAACATAAAATAATTTAAAATTGTTGAAAGACATTTTTCAGAATTTTTAAAATACAAACCTACACAAATCCCCGTACATTTTTGCATTTATGAGAAAGAAAGCTTTGTTAAGTCATAATGATTCGCCCCCCTTTATATTTTTCCCCAATTTCTGTTCCATTCACACAGGGCATCAGCTTCAACGCTTCCCATTCACTTTGAAGGGGTGATGTCAGACATTACCGAACTGCATTGTGGATCCGTCGGCGCCGCTTCAGAGGCGTTGCTCGCTGCAGAAGTTGGGACTTGCTCAACTTTTCAAGCACTAACAGAAGCTTCAGCCAATCAAATCGCTGTATGCAAATACACCAGCTCAGACAGTGGCCTATTGGTGACTAATTTCATTGGCTGCTATGACGATCGCATCAGCCCCAACTTCAGACACGCACTCTGTCAAGCATTAACGCTAAAGCCCCATGTGAATGGGGCGTAACAGAGAGAATATTTTTTCAACACATTTCTAATCATAATAGTTAATAACTCATTTGTAATAACTGATTTGTTTAATCTTTGCCATGATGACAGTACATAATATTTGACTAGATATTTTTCAAGAAACTATTATTCAGCTTAAAGTGACATTTAAAGGCTAACTTAGATAAATTAGGCAAGTATATTAATGGTTTGTTCTGTAGACAATTGAAACAAGATATAGCTTAAAGGGGCTAATAATTTAGTTTTTAAAAAGTAAATACTGCTTTTATTCTAGCCGAAATAAAACAAATAAGACTTTTTCCAGAAGAAAAAATATTATCAGACATACTGTAAAAAATTCCTTGCTCATCATTTGGGAAATATTTGAAAAAGAATAAAGCGGAGGGAGGCGAGGCAGTGGCGCAGTGGGTAGCACGTTTGCCTCACAGCAAGAAGGTCGCTGGGGCGCTGGTTCGAACCTCGGCTCAGTTGGTGTTTCTGTGTGGAGTTTGCATGTTCTCCCTGTCTTCGCATGGGTTTCCTCCGGGTGCTCCGGTCTCCCCCACAGTCTAAAGACATGTGGTACCGGTGAATTGGGTAGGCTAATTTAATTGGGTAGGCTAAACTTAGTGTGGATGTTTCCCAGAGATTGGTTGCGGCTGGAAGGGCATCCGCTGCGTAAAAATGCTGGATAAGTTGGCGGTTCATTCCGCTGTGACAACCCTGGATTAATAAAGGGACTAAGCCGACAAGAAAATGAATGAATGAATGAATAAACAGGAGGGCAACTGTATGTGACAGATGTGAAATTGGCACTTGTGTGATAGCAATAAATAATATAAAATATATTAACTAGTAGAAAATTATTTGAAAACGTTGACAGACATTTTTCAAAAATGTTTATATACAAGCCTACACAAACTATTTTACATTTTTTGCTCTTGAGTGACTAGAAATAAATAATATTGTATAGCAGGGGTGTCCAAACTCAATAACTGCCATCAGTTGTTGCAGGACACTGGCCTTCCAGGACCGAGTAGAGAAAAAACCTTCGTTATGTATGTAACGGATGCGACATTGGCGCTTATGTGACTAGGAATAATAAATAATATAAAATAACAAGAAATCATTTGAAAATGTTGACCGACATTTTGAGTGTGTTTACAGTACAATACAAGCCTACACAAACAACTTTAAAAGGGTTTCGCTATATGTATGGAACCTTTATACATTTTTCCATAGCAAGTTTGACGTTTGCATGGAATTGCTCATCTCAGACATCCGAATCATGGGCAAAAAGCCGACAGTGTATAGCTCCAGGAAACTCACCCAGCAGCCGACTCCAGTGATCGTGTTTTCCCTAAAGCATTTCTCCAGGCGTCTGCAGGTATTTCAGGAGCTGTTTTGAAGAGGGAATTGTGCTTACGCTCTGTGAAATGAGGCCTGATCAGCAGGAGTCAGAAACAACTGACAAACTTAAGACTTATTTGTCGCTCGAGCGTATGAGATTTTAATGACTGCTCATTATGTGGTCGAGTTTTTAAGTGCTTTTCTCAAGCAGCAAGGTTTGGTGAAATGTAAAAAAAAAATAATAAAGCACCCGAGGGAACGATTTAAAAACCATAATGCTTTGCTGTTTATTCTTCAGGTTTTATTTACAGGAACTGCATGTCTAATGGCTGGACGGACCCGTATCCGCCGTATGAGGAAGCCTGTGCTTTTGAGGATGATTCAGAGTCTGGGACTGTGGTGAATATATATTTTTATAGCAATGCATGCATAATTTAAAGTGATGGCCATCATTTTTGAAAGCATTACCTGCTCCGAGAGGCTCTGTTTTTGTGTGTGTGTGTTGGACTTGGTCACTGTGTTTGTTTTGATGCTTTAAATTCCAGCTTTAATTTGTTTCCTGACGTTTTTCCTCTTTTTTAATTACAGTCTGTTGAGGATTATTTAAAACATAAAGCAGGTCATTGGACTATGTTAATGCTGAAGTAAATAAATAATAAGGAATAATGCATTCTAACTACCCCAATATCAAAAAAACAAAGAACACATCAAAAATGATAATTGATTTGATGTCAAAACTTTGACGTCTATTTGACATCAACACATTGATGCCCTTTTGACCACCAAAATAGTAACATAAATAGTATTATAATATACGAAAAGTTTTATTAATCTGAAAGCTGCAATTACAAATTACAAGTTTACAATGGAATTTGTGTCCCATTAATTCATGTAAACTATTTTGATGTTAAAACATCATCAAATTGACATCTAACATTGGTGTCAAAAACATCAAATTGACATCTAAAAAAGTTTGATGTCATTTTAACATCAAAGTAGTTTACATCAAATTGATTACAGGGTGTCCGCGGGGTCTTAAAAAGTATTAAAAGTTGATAAATTAATTATGAGAAAATTAAAAGATATTAAAAAGCTGTAATAACATTTTTAAGAGGTCTTAAATTTAGTTCATGCGTTGTCCAAAGTGTTTGACTCAAAAATATATATTTTCCTCCTATTATAAAAATAGCTTGCTCAATCCATGCGATTCGGGCTGGGGCATGTCTGGCCAAGCTCCTTTGTCAAGGTGATGTCACGTAATTTGCGACAAATGCAGGAAGGTGATGTGTCGCTCTCCACATGTAGCGAAACAGACAGCAAAATGCTATTTTAAGGACGGAAAAACACGCTCTGCGCCATGGCGCATGGTCTAACAGGGTTGAGCTTATTCTCTTAATGAGTTCTGGGTGGGTTTTGAGAATAAACCAATTAGAGTCTCATCTCATTCCCTTTAAGAGTCAGTTGTGTCGCGCTTGCGTCGCACATGGTGTGTAAAAACTGAACGCTTTAATAGCAAGAAAACAGTTAAACAAACCATCTGCAGCAAGAGAATGAGAGATGAATACAACTTTATGATCCGTATTATATAAAAAGAAAATCTGTCGAGGATTGTTGACCAAGCCGGTCATTGGACTCTTTGTTTATGCTGAAGTAAATGAGCAATAACGAATAATGCATTCTAACTATCCCAACAGCAAAAAAAAAAAAACACAATAAAAAACATGTCAAAAGTGCTAATCGATTTGATGTCAAAACTTTGACGTCTATTAGACATAAATTAATGCCCCTTTGATTGGGCTGGGAGATTAATCGATCAAATTTTTTCGAGTAAATTTTAAAAATTATTTTCTCTACCGCATGTGTAGGTCCAGACGGAATCTGCGTGCGCAGAATTCCGGAAATTTTCTGCATATTTTCTGCATATTTTCCGCAGAATTCCGCAGATTTCTGCAGATTTTTAGCCCATTATTAATTCTGTTTATTTACTTGAGTAAATGTGTAAATCTGAATTTATTCAGTTTTTATTCAGTAATTTATTACTTTTTATTTAATATATTAAGATGTAAGTTATGATACTCCGCTGGATACTCCCAAAATAATTCCACAGAAATCCGCAGTTTTTTAGCAAAATTCTCAACAGAAATAGCAAAAAATGTCCGCAGATTCCGTCTGGCCCTGCGCATGTGGAATCACATGACATTGCTCTGTTAAGGCTTGATTTATACTTCTGTGGGCCCTTTGCAGCCACATTTGATCACTGGTCAGGTAGGACGATGGACCTATTCTTGAGCGTAGTGTATGAGTGTGAATGAGTGTGTATGGATGTTTCCTAGAGATGGGTTGCAGCTAAAAGGGCATCCGCTGCGCAAAACATGTGCTGGATAAGTTGGCGGTTTTCATTTGAAAGGGTTTTCATTGGTATAGTTTTATTCAGAATCACTTATTAGTTACTGACAAATCTGTTGTGCTTGAAATGCATTAAGTCTTTTTTGCTCTTTGCATTTATTTTTTCAGACAACCTACTTATCGACTTTAAAACAGCTTTACACCGCAGGATACGCAACATCGCTAATATCACTCATAACTGCAGTCATCATATTCACATGCTTCAGGTAAAGCTCTTATAACTTATTTTCATGATTTACAAAAAAATTATATATATATATATAAATACAGTTGAAGTCAGAATTATTAGCCCACCTTTGAAATTTTTTTCTCTTTTTTAAATATTTCCCAAATAATGTTTAACAAAGCAAAGAAATGTTCACAGTATGTCTGAAAATAGTATTTTAGTTTACAATTTAATGTAAATAATTAATTTAATAAAAATAGGTTTAAGTTAATTTATTAAAATAGCATTTAAAAATACTTTAAATTGTTTTTAGATAAAAAAATGAAAAAAATAAAAATAAAATAAAGTATTATTTCAATTACTTAAATGCATATGGGAATTACTAGCAGAATTTATTTATTACAACAACTTTAAAACTAATGAATTATTTTAAATATTTTTTTTTATTTGGGTTGGGCGGTATGAACAAGGTTGTATTTCATATAATATTTATATTGTTTATAAAAAGTCCTTGCTTCATTTAACATCGCAAAAAATCGTTTAAAAAATGTGAGAATGAAAACGTTCGAGGTTACAGAAGTAACCCTTCGTTCCCCGAGGAGGGGAACGGAAGTGCCATGAATGGGAGGATTCGTATCAGAAGCCGCTTATCTGGAGAGTATTGAACGGGCCAATGAATGAAATTAATTGGCAGCGTAAGCTTGCGCAGGTGTGCGACATCTGCAATCATCTCAGCATATAAGCACACCTGAAGCCAGCAGACGCCATCCTTTTAAGCTGAAGAGACTTTCAAACAGCTAAGGGACAGTCATTATGGCGACGGAATATGGCACTTCCGTTCCCCTCCTCGGGGAACGAAGGGTTACTTCTGTAACCTCGAACGTTCCCCTTCGGTTGGGGAACTTCAGTGCCATGAATGGGAGAATATGGAAAGCGCCATAATGACTGCACCTTACCAACACCCCCGATGAGGAGATAGTCAAGCAAGCGTGACGCACCCACATCATGGGGGGCGCGGTCCTCCAACGTGTCCCTGGCCCTAATTTATCCTACTTCAACAGAAGTTCTACGGATTTAGATATATTTTTTGGGAAGTCGTGAGCATCTAGATAATTCTAGGAAATACGACAGTACGTTGGGAAGCGTGCAATCCCGATAGGGAGGACGCTGCGGAGGCCATCCGTTACCCAAGGGGGGGATAGATGGCAGAATTTACCTATGGACTAGCCCTAAAAAGGGGGAGTATGCATAGCAAAGAATGGTTAGCGGAGAGGGAAGACACGGGTCCGCCCAGGGGGGGGACTTAACCGTGGCGGAATAAGCATATGGGATCGCCTAGTGGGGATCACGCATAGCAGGCACCTATACCCAAAACGCGGGCTGACCAGCGGGCAGACCTACAACGTAGTGGGCCAGCAAGTGACTCCTCCGCTGAGTCAGTGCTGGGGGCCACGGAGGAATCTGCAGGGCTCACCTGACGGGGAACTTTACTGACAGATAAAAAAGGCGCACGTACCTCCGTGTTAGGGAGAATGGCGCAGCAAGCGTGTTTCAACACCCTACCGAGTTGTCTCCTCAATCACCAAAGGGTTACCTAATACCCTTGAGGAAACCGGCTCCACTCGCAGATTGTAAAACCTTGTAAATGTGTTGGGTGTCGCCCAGCCCGCAGCTCTACAGATGTCTGTTAGAGAGGCGCCGCGTGCACGCGCCCAAGAGGATGCAACGCTCCGAGTGGAGTGTGCACGTACTCCCGGGGGACACGGCTGACCTCGACTCGAATAAGCGAGTGAAATGGCATCCACAATCCAGTGGGATAATCTTTGTTTCGATACGGCACTTCCCTGCTGCCGACCGCCATAACAGACAAAGAGCTGCTCAGATGATCTAAAATTCTGAGTACGGTCCACATAAATGCGCAGAGCGCGAACTGGACAAAGTAAAGAAAGGGCTGGGTCTGCCTCCTCCGGGGGCAGCGCTTGCAGGTTCACTACCTGATCTCTAAAGGGGGTGGTAGGAACCTTGGGCACATAACCGGGGCGGGGTCTCAGGATAACGTGAGAGTAATCCGGCCCGAATTCCAGGCATGAGTCACTGACCGAAAATGCCTCCAGGTCCCCGACCCTCTTGATGGAGGCCAACGCAACCAGCAGAGCTGTCTTCAGGGACAGAAATCTTAGAGATACTGATTCGAGTGGCTCAAAGGGATCGGATCGCAGACTCGTGAGAACGAGGGCGAGATCCCAAGAGGGCATGAGAGGGGGGCGAGATGGATTAATTCGCCTAGCACCCCTAAGGAACTGGATGACCAGGTTATGCTTTCCCACGGTGCCGCCAGCTACCGCGCTATGATAAGCGGAGATGGCGGCCACGTAAACCTTGAGAGTGGAGGGCGACAGCCTGCTGTCCAACTTCTCTTGAAGGAAAGAGAGCACAACACTAATCTGGCAATTTCGGGGGTCTTCTCTGCGAGAGACGCACCATTCAGTGAATAGACTCCACTTCAGGGCGTAGGCGCGCCTCGTGGAGGGGGCTCTAGCCTGAGTGATGGTATTAACCACCGCAGTCGGTAGGTTACCTAAGTCTTCCTCGCGTCTAGGGACCACACGTGGAGGTTCCAAAGATCGGGGCGAGGGTGCCAGATGGTGCCCTGTCCCTGAGAGAGTAGGTCCTCTCTCAAAGGGATCCGCCAGGGGAGGGCCGTCGCGAGGAGTGAGAGCTCTGATATCCTGGTCCGGTTGGGCCAAAGGGGCGCAACTAACAGAACCTGTTCCTCGTCCTCCCTGACCTTGCACAGAAACTGCGCGAGCAGGCTCACTGGGGGAAACGCATACTTGCGCATGCCCCGAGGCCAGCTGTGGGCCAGTGCATCCGTGCCGAGAGAGCCCTCGGTCAGGGAAAAAAAAAACAACTGGCAGTGAGCGTTCTCGGGGGAAGCAAACAGATCGATCTGGGCCTCCCCGAATCGCGCCCATATCAGCTGAACAGACTCGGGGTGGAGTCTCCATTCTCCAGGGCGTAACAGCTGTCGTGAGAGCGCATCGGCTGCACGATTGAGCATGCCTGGGACGTGAATGGCGCGCAGCGATTTCAGCCGCGGGTGACTCCAGAGGAGCAGACGGCGGGCGAGCTGAGACATGCGGCGAGAGCGCATACCCCCCATGCGGTTGATATACGCCGCCGCCGCCGTACTGTCCGTCCTGACCAGCACGTGTTGCCGCTCCAGCACCGGTAAAAAGCGGTGGAGAGCGAGGAACACTGCCAACAGCTCTAGGCGATTGATATGCCAATGCAGCTGGGCACCCTTCCAGAGGCCCGCAGCCGCATGCCCGCGACACACGGCCCCCCAACCCGTGTTGAAAGCGTCTGTTGAAACAACAACATGGCTGGACGCCTGTCCTAGAGGCACACCGGCCTGTAGGAACGAGGGGTCGTTCCAAGGGCTGAGGGCGCGGCGACACAGCGCAGTAACCGAGACCCGGTGTGTGCCCGCGTGCCATGCGCGTCTGGGGACCCGATCGTGAAGCCAGTGCTGAAGTGGTCTCATATGGAGCAACCCGAGCGGCGTGACGGCGGCTGCGGATGCCATATGCCCCAGGAGCCTCTGAAAGAACTTCAGTGGGACCACTAGTTTGCTGTCGAGCTCCCTCAGACAGTTCAGCAACAGGCGAGCGCGTTCCTCGGAGAGGTGCGCTACCATGGTGATCGAGTCCAGCTCCATCCCGAGAAAAGAAATCCTCTGCACGGGGGCGAGTTTGCTCTTTTCTCGGTTGACCTGAAGCCCCAGTAGGCGGAGATGCCGAAGCACCTCGTCCCTGTGCACAATCAACTGCTCCCGCGAGTGGGCTAAAATCAGCCAGTCGTCGAGATAACTGAGTATGCGTATGCCCGCGAGCCGAAGGGGCGCTAGGGCACCCTCCGCGAGTTTGGTGAAGACCCGCGGAGACAGAGAGAGCCCGAAGGGGAGGACCTTGTACTGCCACGCTCGACCCTCGAACGCAAACCGCAGAAATTGGCGGTGGCGTGGAAGAATGGAGACATGGAAATACGCGTCCTTCAGGTCTATGGCTGCAAACCAATCCCGAGGACGAACGCATTGGAGAATTCGCCTCTGCGTGAGCATTCTGAACGGCAGCTTGTGCAGACAGCGGTTCAAAACGCGCAGATCTAGGATTGGCCGTGACCCACCGCTCTTTTTGGGTACGATGAAGTATGGGCTGTAAAACCCACTCTCCATCTCGGCTGGAGGAACCGGCTCGATTGCACCCTTCGCCAGGAGGGCAGCAATCTCCTCTCGCAAGACAGGGGCGGACAGGGGGTTGACCCTGGAGAAATACACGCCCGTAAACTTGGGGGGCCGTTTCGCGAACTGAATCGCGTAACCGAGTCTGATTGTGCGTATGAGCCACCGCGAGGGGCTGGCCCGCGCTAACCAGGCAGGCAGAGCCCTCGCTAATGGAGTCATCGCTACAATCGCTGACGTACCAGCGGTGGGGCAGCGCGGAGTGGGTGTGCTGATCCGGGAAGCACGAGGGTCCCGCGGAAAAGCTGGAGGAGAGCGATTCGCTCTGGCTCCGCACCCTGACTCCGGAGAGGGGGCTGGAGGGCTGAGGGAAGGGAGACCGTCCCCCCAGCGCTCGTGAGCCACTGGCGAAGCACGTAGAGTCTGCGAGCCGGAAGGCAGCGCGTCCCGGACTGGCAGAACTCGTGCAGTCACATCCGGGGAAGGGAAAAAGTGCTCTTTTACTGATGTTTTGGTGGCACTGAAAAGTACCGTTGTTATCGGGGCCCCGCCCTCCAGCGGGGAAAGAGCAAGTTTCCTCTTCTCCGGATGGCCTGTCTCAGGGACGCTTCGCGGTCCGTTTACCGGACTTAACGGCGCCCTGGGCAGGAGGGGCTGCCTGCTTTCGAGGTGAACGCCGCGCCCGCTTGGCCGGAGGCGCAGGCGGGGGCGGGGCAGCACTCGTTGGCGGGCGCCCTCGGCGAGGAACAGCGGAGGTGGATGGCTCGGCGGGCGGAGCGGGCTTACGGCCACGCCGATAGATGACATTGCCCATCGCATCCGACTGCTCTTTCACCGCCTTGAATTCCTGGGTGAATTCACCGACGGTGTCGCCGAACAGGCCAGCCTGGGATATGGGCGAGTCAAGAAAGCGAACTTTGTCAACGTCGCGCATATCGGCCAGGTTTAGCCAGAGGTGGCGTTCCTGAACCACAAGTGTGGACATCGTCCTCCCCAGCGCACACGCGGCGGACTTAGTAGTCCGAAGAGCATAGTCGGTCGCGGTGCGCAGCTCATGTAATAAGCTTGGGTTGGACCCGCCCTCGTGCAGCTCGGCCAGCGCCTGCGCTTGGTAGCGCTGGTAGGTGGCCATCGCGTGCAAAGCTGACGGGATCGCCTCATACCCCCTGGCAGCTCCGCCGTCAAGGGCGGTGAGGGCGGAGGCACTCGCAGCACGGGCAGAGAAAGGTGCCCTCCAGGACTGCGTGAGCCTACTGTGCACTTCCGGGAAGAAGGGGACGAGAGGCTTCGAAGGCTTCGCCTTCTGGTCCTCTACGTAGCACCCATCTAGTCGGTCCGGCCGCGGAGCTGGGGGATAAACCATCTCCAACCCCACGGCCGAAGCAGCCCGGGAAAGCACGGCTAACATGTCCGCTTCAGGATCCGATTTGACAGCGCTCACCTGCCCGGAGGGGGCGAGCGGGTCCGGATCTTCGTCGGACAGTGAAAGCCCACCCTCCGATGCCGCGGAGGACATCTGATCTCCGGTGTCAGCGAGTGTGAGAGCTACCATCTGGTTAGACGGATCACTCTCACCACCCGAAGCTTGGATGGAGCGCCGTGAGGAGCGAGAGGTCCGCGAGCCCGTGGGCGGCGGATTAGCTCCCGCTGAAACCCTCAGATCTGCCCGAGCGCCCGCTGCTTTTTTAGAACAGGAGGCAACTGGGGTGGCTCGCTCTCTTGCGAAAGTTAGCCGCGATCTTAGCTGTGCAACGGTCATGGCATCGCAATGACGACATGAACCGCCCGCGAGCACCGCATTAACATGCTGGACCCCCAAACATGCAATGCAGTGATCGTGTCCATCATCCGGAGACAGGAAACCCCCGCATCCAGAAACGCACAGTCGGAGCGCCATCCTGAAAAGGACGTGCTGCACGACTGTGTTGCTCTTTTAGGAAAGTTGCAACTATACGCACCGCTCTGGAGGACCGGACCCAAAGAACCGCAGGCAAGGGAGTAACCCAGCTCGACCGTCTGCCACCGCGAAGACCCACTCTGGACCGGGAGACACACTCGTTCGCTCTGAAGTGCTGATCAGCAAGAGGAACCCTCATCGACTCACTCAGAAAGGATCTGAAGCGAAAAGGATGGCGTCTGCTGGCTTCAGGTGTGCTTATATGCTGAGATGATTGCAGATGTCGCACACCTGCGCAAGCTTACGCTGCCAATTAATTTCATTCATTGGCCCGTTCAATACTCTCCAGATAAGCGGCTTCTGATACGAATCCTCACATTCATGGCACTGAAGTTCCCCAACCGAAGGGGAACTGCATCTACAGTACTGAAATTGGGGAAAAAATTGGGGAAAAAAATAAACGGGGCAAATAATTCAGGGGGGCTATAATTTCAACTGACTTCAACTGTATATACATTTATATATTGAGCATGCAATCTATACAATTCCATTTTAATGTATAGTATTGGTTGTCCATTACAGGAAGTTCCACTGCACCAGAAACTACATCCACATCAATCTGTTTGTGTCCTTCATCCTGCGGGCCAGTGCGGTTTTCATTAAAGACACTGTTTTATTCTCAGACGAAACGCAAGATCACTGTTTAATGTCCACGGTGAGTGCTTTACAACATTAAACTCTACACTGTTTTATTATCATTAGTTTCATTTTATAATTATTTTCATGTTATCTTTTGGGGTCGCGGGGCGCAGTGGGTAGCATGATCGCCTCACATCAAGAAGGTCACTGGTTCGAGACTCGGCTGTGTCAGTTGGCATTCCTGTGTGGAGTTTGCATGTTCTCCCCAGGTCTCCTCCGGGTGCTCCGGTTTTCCCCACAGTCTAAAGACATGCGGTATAGGGGAATTGGGTATGCTAAAATTGACCAGTGTATTTGTGAATGAGTGTGTATGGATGTTTCCCAGTGATGGGTTGCAGCTGGAAGGGCATCTGCTGCATAAAAAATAGGCTGGATAAGTTGGCGGTTCATTCCACTGTGGCGACCTCAGATTAATAAAGGGACTAAGCCGAAAAGAAAATGAATGAATGTTATCTCATGTATATATGTTTTTTTTTTTTTTTCAAATATTTCCGGAATGATGTTTAACAGAGCAAGGACATTTCACAGTATTTGCTATAATATTTTTTCTTCTGGAGAAAGTCTCATTTGTTTTATTTCGGCTACAATTAAAGCAGATTTAAATTTTTTAAACCATTTTAAGGTCAATATTTTTAGCCCCCTTAAGCAATATTTGTTTTCGATTGTTTACAGAACAAACTATAGTTATACAATGACTTGCCTAACTAACCTAATTAAGCCTTTAAATGTCACTGCAAGCTGAAAACTAGCAGAATGTATATATTTATTTATCAACAATAACAACTCTGCTGCTGTGAATTCAAAGTGTTGGATGTTGAACAGATATGACGTGTCACTATGTGTGTGTGTGTGTGGTTGTTCTCAGGTGTTGTGCAAAAGCGCTGTGACTTTTTTCCAGTTCTGCATCCTCACCAATTACTTCTGGCTGCTGGTGGAAGGGCTTTACCTGCAGACGCTGCTCGCGCTCACCTTCGTCTCGCAGAGGAAATACTTCTGGTGGTACATTCTCATCGGATGGGGTTCGTAAAACCTGAAAAACAGCACAGAAAAAAAACACAAGCTTCCAGGAGAGCATTAAAGCATCACTTCATTAAAAATATATTGTACACATACTGTAGATACTTTTGGAAGCGGACATGCGAAACTTCTGCTGCATTCGCTTGCATATGAATGGAAGTCTCTGCGTCAAAATATGCAGTGTGACCACAGCTTAAGCATGTGGTGATGAGATGAGACATGAGTCATATAATGAACCAAACAACTTTTTCCAACAAGCAGAGAAACATGCCAATATACAGAAGGAGCATGTCAGTGTCAGATGTCAGTGTCATTCACACAACAGCTAAACACCATCTGGTAACACTTAAAATTAATGGAATAAGCATTAATTTTCAACATTAGATGTAACATAAAACTCTAATTTAGAGGTCTGCATCTGCAACCCAATCAGATTTCTTGCGGTGCGGGAATAAATTTCCGAATAAAGCGCTGGAGCGGTCGGTAACTCCTGAGCGAGCGAGCACGCTTATGTATGTGTGTGAATTAGAGAATGTGATTCTGTGTTTAGATTGTTTGTTGCTGTCTGTATGTGTGTGAATGAGAGAGAGAGTTTCGTGCTGTCTATGTGTGTGTGTGAATGAGAGAGAGCGTGATGCTGTCTGTGTCACTTGCTTGGTGCTGTGTGTTTATACAGACACCTTGTTATAGGCTGTCTGAATTCTGCCCCCCCCCCCCTGGAATGGGCGCGGCGGGTGCAAAATGGGGCGGGGCTACCAGCGCGACAACAAATGCTGAATATAAGCGAGAGTGGTCAGGTTCGGACTAAAACCTGGCAGGAGCGGGATTCAAAATTTAGTCCCGCTCTGATCTCTACTCTAATGTACATCACTGAAGGGAAAAAACTACAAAGAACCATGGTCATGTCAACAAAAAGCATAAAAGTCATGTCAACAGAGGGAATTCTGGCAGGGCAAAGTCAATTTATGGTTATAAATAAAAAAAATCTCTCCACATAGGGTGGTCACATTATTGTGATCTGCTATGAAACTTGTGCTGTTAATATGGAGAAAGTGAGTGTTTTTTTTTTTGTTTGTTTAATTCTGCAGGTGTCCCATCAGTTGTACTTGTCGTGTGGGTTTTGACCAGACAGTTCTATGATAACAGAGGGTAAGTCAGATTTAAAACTTTAAAATCAATTGCATTTATTTCATCCTCAACTCTATATACTATTACGACCTTTTTACCTTGTTTACATGACTTTCTTTCATGGCAAAATTCAATCATACAATGAAAAAAGGGTACAGTTGAAGTCAGAATTATTAGCCCTCCTGAATTATTAGCGCCCCTGTTTATTTTTTTCCCCAATTTCTGTTTAACGGAGAGCAGATTTCTTCAGCACATTTCTAAACATAATAGTTTTAATAGCTCATTTATTTTATCTTTGCTTTATGATGACAGTAAATAATATTTGACTAGATATTTTTCAAGACACTTCTATACAGCTTAAAGTGACTCTTAAAGGCTAATTAACTAGGTTAATTAGGTTAACTAGGCAGGTTAGGGTAATTGGGCAGGTTATTGAATAATGATGTTTTTTTCTGTAGACTATCGTGGGAAAAAAATAGCTTAAAGGGGCTAATAATTTTGTCCCAAAAATGTTTCTTTTAAAATTAAATTCTTCTTTTATTGTAGCCGAAATAAAACAAATAAGACTTTCTCCAGAAGAAAAAATATTATCAGACATACTGTGAACATTTCCTTGCTCTGTTAAACATTGTTTAGGAAATATTTTAAAAAGTAAAAAAATAAAAAAGGTGGGCTAATAATTCTGACTTCAACTGTAGATGCAGTTTTCATTCTCACATTTTTAAATGATTTTTTGCGATGTTAAATGGAGCAAGGACATTTTCTAAACATTATAAATATTAAATGAAATACAACCTTGTTCATACCGCCCAACCCAAATTAAAAAAATATATAAAATAATTCATTAGTTTTAAAGTTGTTGTAATAAATACATTCTGCATGTAATTCCTATATGCAAAAAATAATTTAAGTAATTGAAATAATACTTTATTTCATTTAGTTTAAAATTTATTTATTTTTTATCTAAAAACAATTTAAACTATTTTAAATGCTATTTTAATAAATTAACTTAAACCTATTTTATTAAATTAATTATTTACATTAAATTGTAAACTAAAATACTACTTAAATAACAGTTAAACATTAGTTTTATTACTTAAAAAATATTTTTAATTTTAAATTTCATTTATTGATTATTTTATACATTTTATAAAAATAATAAAATGCATTAGGACATTATCAATAAACAAAACAATTGCAATAAATAAATAAATGAGTCATTAAATATTGATTTCTCATTGCAGATGTTGGGACGACACAGATAATATGAACATCTGGTGGATCATTAAAGGACCGATCACCGCTTCACTGTTTGTGAGTTATAATTGACTACATTTAAACAGATTTATCAACAGAAAACGATGCTCCCTCATATATTCCCCATCTGTCTGACAGGCTAATATCATCATCTTCCTGAATGTGATTCGCATATTGGTTCAGAAATTGAAAAGTCCTGGAGTCGGGGGCAATGATACGGGTCACTTCATGTGAGTATGATTAAAAACTGAAGACGTGGCTGAAAATTAATATTTTGACTGATTTGATAATGCTGAGTAATTGAGAAACCAATCATTAAACTGCATTGTTCTGCATTATTTCTTCTTTATTAAAACATGTGGTTGTCTACAATGACCTGAGCTTATTTTATAAGACTTTTTGTCTAATATTGGCTTAACGCTGAGAAAACCTTTACAGAAAGTCACATAAAACTTTTTATTTATTTATTTATTTCATACATTTTCTTGTGAAACTTAAGAGTGCTTGACTGTGGAAAGCTTGTCATTATGACACTGGGTGGTCGACATGGCGTTCATAATGGCAGCTAGATTTTTTTGATGTGTTAAACGGTATTACTGTGAAAAGAAATATATGCATTTTGTAAAATATTCTTTGTAAAGTGCTCATTTCTTTAACATTTTATTGTGTTCCTCTTATTTAAATATAATTTATTTATTGTATACACTATATACTTTTTTATTTATTATTTATTTAAATCACACGATTAATTTAGTTTTAAATCTTATTTTAGTCCAGTATTATTTAATCATCAATTTATTTATTTTTATTTTCCTTTAATCGTTTTAAACACATTTTACTTATTTTATTATTTTTATTTAAACAATAAAATATTTGTGTTCTTCATTTAAATGTTTTTAAAATGTTTGTTTTGTAATAAATTATTTGGAAAGTGTTATATTACATTATTTTTATACACTATATACTCTTTTATATTTATTATTTATTTCAATTATATTTGATTTATTTTTAAATCTTATTTTAGTCCAAACTTATTTACTCACCAATTAATATTTATTTTTTGTATTTTTCATTTATTTATTTAAAACAGATTTTAATATTTTATTCATTTTATTTAAATAAAAAAAATATTTAAACAACAGTAATAATTAGTCAAATGTTCTTTAAATATACATTTTGTAATATATTATTTGGAAAATGCTAATTTCTATAACATCATTTGTGTATACACTATATACTGTTATATTTATTATTTATTTAAATGGAAAGGCAAGTTTATTCATATAGCGATAGTAATACACAATGGTAATTCAAAGTGCTTAACATAAACCAGGATAAAAGACACTAACAAAAAATTATTAAAAAATTATTAAAAACAGATTACAGATGACATTTTATTTAATTTAGGTTTTACATTTAATTTTAGTCATATTTATTCATAAATCTATTGTTTATTAATACATATATTTATATTTAATGATTTAAAACACATTTTACTTATTTTATTATTTTTATTTAAACAATTAAATGAAATAATAGCTTTGTTTATTTAAATGTTATTCAAAATACAATTTGTAATTATTTGGAAAGTGTTCATTTCTATTACATTACATCATTTTTAAACACTATAAACTCTTTTATATTTATTATATATTTAAAACATGTTTTAATAAATTTATTTTTAAATCTTATTTTAGTGCACTATTATTTATTGACCAATTTATTATATTTTAATATTTGTTATTTTTTATTGCTTTTTTAATAAAGATTTTAATATTTTGTTCCTTTTTTAAATAAAGATTTTAATATTTTATTCCTTTTTTAATAAAGATTTTAATATTTTATTCCTTTCATATAAATATCAATTATTTATATAAATAAGTTATATGTTTTCAAATGTTAAATTTACATTTTGTACAATTTTGTTTGGAAAGTGCTAATTTCTATAATTACATAATTATACACTATGTACATATGTATACACACATATACATAAGTATACACTAAAATGTATACACTAAATATCACTATATTTATTATTTATTTAGATCACACATTATTTAATTTAGTTTAAAATCTTATTTATCAATCTAGTATTATTATTTGTTCATCAATTTATTACTTTTTTATTATTTTATTTATTTCATTATCTTTATTAAAACAATAAAATAAAATAATATTTGTATTTATTCAAATGTTATTTAAATATACATTTTGTTTATATTATTTGGAAAGTGCTCATTTCTATAATATTACATCTTACATGTTTTATATTAATTCAAATCATATTTTATTTATTCTTAAATCTTATTTTAGTCCACTATTAATTATTTATCAATTTATCATTTGTTTAATTTTTCATTTATTTATTTAAAATAGATTTTAATATTTTATTTATTTAATTTAACTGTAATATATATATCTAAATAATAGTTCTATCTATTTAAATTTTGTTTTATTATTTAAAATTAAATAAAAAGTGCTCAGGTGTAGCTTAAATAATGCGTCGATGTCCTTTGGGTAAGGAATTCATCAGAATACACAGCAAAATCAGTTCAAGGCACTCAAAAAATTAGAAAAAAATATTTAAAAAATATATTATTCATATTTTGTTCAAATATTTTGCCTTGGACTGATTTTTGCTGTTATTTTATTATTTATTTAACCACATTTATTCATTCATTTTCTTTGACCCCCAACTTATCCAGCATATGTTTTATGCGGCGTATGCCCTTCCAGCCGCAACCCAACACTGGGAAACACCCATACACCTCTTGCATTCACACAAACATACACTATGGCCAATTTAGCTTATTCAGGTTACCTGTACCGGATGTGTTTGGACTGTGGGGGGAAACAGGAGCACCCGGAGGAAACCTATACCAACACGGGGAGAACATGCAAACTCCACACAGAAACACCAATTGATCTAGGCTCGAACCAGCGACCTTCTTGCTGTGAGGCAATCAGGCTAAACACTGCACCACCGTGCTGCCCTATATAAACAACATTTTATGTAATTTCGTTTTAAATCTTATTTTAGTCCAGTATTATTGATTTAGCAATTTCTTATTTTTTAATTCTTCATCTATTTATTTAAAACAAATTTGACAAATTTTATTCCTTTTATTTATATATAATTTATTTAAACATTAGTTATATTATTCACATTTTATTTTAATCAATTCATTGAATGTGTTTTTAAAGAAATTAATTACTTATTTGCATTAACATTCAATACATTTAATTACATTTTATAAAATAAAAATAATTGTATTTTAATATTAATTTATTTAAAAATGATCCATTTTAAATAATAAAAATGCATAGTAACTTTTTTGTTTAAAAAGTTTTCCTTGTTTTTTTTTTGTGTAGTTTCTCCCAGTTTGAAGCACCTATTTTTTTACTGCGCATGTAGAGAATGTCCTTTCCTAACCCTGAAAAGACAGCACAATTATATCTGCTTGTAATTTAGCCTCAGCTGAGAGCAGGTTACTGCAGACTCAGACAGATGGCATGTGTTAATGTGAGAGAAATGCACATCTTTCGATCCTCCGGAAGATGTTTGTTGAGTAGAAAGCGCTGCCAGGTCCTGCTTCATGCATGAATGATGGTTCACATCAGGGTGAGCTTCTATTTTAGGTCTCGTTGTGTTTTAATACCTGCCCTGAACAAATGCGTTGTATATGCAAAGACCAGGAGAAATTGCATTTAGCCTATTACCCAGCAGCGTGTGCCTTTCCGAAAGTGCACATCTGTCTCAGAGATTTGATTTGCTGTTATTTAACTTCATACTGACGCTGGGTTTGACCTTATGCACTGTAAAAAAAATCGATTTGTGTTGGGAAAGCATGAACGAATTAAGTGAACTTATTATTTTTTTTACTAATTTAAGTGGATTAAACATTAAACAATTACATCGTCTTAAAGAATCCCTCAAGAATTGTTTCTTCAGCTCATTTTAAATAAGTAGTTTTTAAAGTGGTGGTTCAGAGTGTATTTTAAGGCTTGGTTTTGTTTATAAGATTCAAAGCAATGTGTGTTCATGCTTTACAAACCACATTATGTTTTCATACATCTTATTTTAATTATATACAGCTACTCAGCCCTGCTGAAAAATCCAGCTTAAACCAGCCTAGGCTGGTTGGCTGGTTTTAGCTGGTCGACCAGGCTGGTTTTAGAGGGGTTTTGGCCACTTCCAGGCTGGTTTCCAGCCATTTCCAGCCTGGTCTTAGCTGGTCAGGCTGGGAGATGACCAGCTAAAATCAGCTTGACCAGCCTAGCCAGGCTGAGAGCCCAGCCAAAACCAGCTATGTCCAGCTTAAACCAGGCTGGTCAAGCTGGTTTTAGCTGGATTAAGCTGGTCATTTTTCAGCCTGACCAGCTAAGACCAGGCTGTAAATGGCTGAAAACCAGCCTGGAAATGGCCAACACCCCTCTAAAACCAGGCTGGTCAACCAACTAAAACCAGCCAACCAGCCTAGGCTGGTTTAAGCTGAATTTTTCAGCAGGGAGCTAATATGAAAACGACTATCATATTTTCTAGTTCATCCGAAAGCCTGCCCTTTCTCTCTGATTGAGCTCTGATTGGTCAGCTAACACAGGGGTTTTCAAACTTGTAGGACCCCTACGCCACCAGGCACCCCTCCCTCTAGACCACAGATGTCAAGCTCAGTTCCAAAAGGGAAGTTTAGTTCCAACCCTAGTTAAACACACCTGATCAAACTAATTGAGTCCTTCAGGCTTGTTTGAAACCTACAGGTAAGTGTGTTGGAGAAGGGTTGGAACTAAACTGTGCAGGGCTTCGGCCCTCCAGGAATTGAGTTTGACACCCCTGCTCTAGACAAAATTATAATGCATGTGCAAACAGCATTCACATATTACTTGCTGCGTTTTCAAGTGGATAGAATTAATTACATTGAAACAAATATACAGCTTACCTGATTCAGTGTGATGGCTGAGCCTTTTTCTGTGAGGACAACATGCTAATCTGTGGTCGGATTCCTGACACGACTATCCGTAAATCATCTTCCACTGTCAATAAGCGTGAGCCATAGCATACTTGCTAACCACTGAGCCACCGTGTCGCCTTTTTAATTTTTTTAAAGACCATTTTAAGTACAAAATTATTAGCCCCTTTAAGCTTTATATTTTTTCCCGATAGTCTAACCAACTTACCCTAACCTGCCTAGTTAACCTAATTACCCTAGTTAAGTCTTTAGATGTTACTTTAAGCTTTATAGAAGTGTCTTGAAAAATATTTAGTCAAATATTATTTACTGTCATCATGACAAAGATAAAATAAATCAGTTATTAGAAATAATTAGAAATTAAATAATCCTTTAATTGTTGAAATGTCACAAAAATCTGACATCTTTTTATTGCTTTGAACTTTATTTTAATTCATTGCATGCTACAAAATATGTATTTTTATGTATTATTTTTTATGTAAATCTGTTAAAGGTGATGCACACATATGTGACCCTGGATCATGGACCACAAAACTAGTTTTATGTTTAAAAATATCACTTTTTATGCCTAAAATCATTAGAATATTAAGCAAAGATTATGTTCGATGAATCTATTTGATAAATTTCCTATTGTAAATATCTCAAAACCCATCTTTTAATTATTAAAAATATACATTGGTAAGAACTTTGGACAATTTTAACAGTGATTTTCTCAGAATTGTGATTTTTTGAACCGTCAGATTCTAGATGCATTAATCTTGTCAAATATTGTCCTATATATACACATTAATGGAAAGCTAATTTATTTTTAAACTTTTACATGATGCATAAATTTCAGTTTCCAAATAATCTCACAGGTTTTGTGTCACAAATACTGTACAGTATGTCTAGAAGCTCTGCTCTGTATTGTCTGTGTGAGGTCACAAATATTGATTGATTATGTTTTGGTAATCTTACAGGAGACTGGCCAAGTCCACACTGTTTCTGATTCCTCTGTTCGGGATGCACTACACTCTGTTCGCCTTCCTGCCAGAAAACACTGGAGAAATAATCCGCTTTTACATCGAGCTCGGCCTGGGCTCCTTCCAGGTACAGAATAGTTCAATTATTAGGAGGCGACAGCTTAAAGGTCTTGTAGAATTAAAATAACGCTTTTAGGATGTTAGTATCACTATGTGACGTTTATTTATAAACTAATTTCGAGAGGATCACGTGCTTATGACTGCTAGGGGCTGGATCTGCATTATCCAATTCACAATGCTCCAATCAGACGACTCCTAAACTACTATAAATACCCTGGGTTTCATTCCACTGCTATCTTTGTTTTGAAGAGTCCCCCCTTCCACCCCTACTCCTCCTCCTTCCTAGATGAGTGACATGGTGGCCCAGTGCGTAGCACTGTTGCCTCATAGCAAGAATGTTTCTGGTTCCAGGCTTTACAAAACCAGCAGACATTTCTGTGTGGAGTTTGCACTTTCTCCCCGTGTTCACGTGGGTTTCCCCTGGGTTCCCCGGTTTCCTCCCACCGTCCAAAAACATGCAAATTAAGTTAATTGACTAATCCAAATCGGCACCATAGACATGCTCCTAGTATATAGTTATCTCCAAGAGCAATCACTTGCTGTTCATTGGTTACTACAGCAGGGGAGTTCTCAAGATCTACCTGAGCTCAAACTCCCCTCCCGCCTTGCAACAGGAGGTAGCCCCGGGCTCAAGAATCATGAGCTCAGGGCTCTCTCCTGGGACAGCTTGCCAAACAAGCTTTTTAATCAATCATGAGCTAAGTGTGAACTCTCGAAGTTAGTATTAAGGATATGTTTAAGCTAGTATGCTACAAAACAGTGAACAAATGAGCATTTAGAAGATATAAACCTGATATACACATCAAAAGCTTGCAGTTCGTCACTTCCGCCTAAATGGATCAACAATTTATTTTTGACGTCACCTCATATTTTAGTTTCTCATCAAATCTTCTGACCAATCAGCTGCTCTCTAGTATCTGAAATGCCTCGCCCCCACACTATTGGCTGTTTTTGAAGAGGAGGAGCTACTCTATGTCCCGCCCTGTCTTTATGTTTCAGTTGAGATTATGTCAAACATTTCAAAGCACTTTTAGTATTAATTATGATCATTTAAGCCTGGTGCCCTGAAATTTTATCCTACCCATCAGATTATGCTACCAACACTGTATTTGAATGGTTCCGAGAGGTTGGGGTTAGGGATTAGGTAGGTTAGGGCAATATTACAGCTTCATATCACACTACTCCACATTAAAATTTACACTGGTAGCAAAATCGGATGGGTAGCATATTGCATCATCAACATGTGCTACCTACTTTTTAAATGGAAGGTAGGACAATCTGACAAGGTTGGACAAATTGAGAGAACACCAACTCACACTGTGCGGTTTTTCCTAAGCAATTAATCTTAAACGATTATAGCATGTCAGTGTAATGAAGTTCACGGCCCTTTGGCCGTCGGGAAGAAGGAGGCGGAGAACCGATGCAGTTTTAAAATGATTTATTAATAACAGTGACGGCAGCTCCTCACGGAGGCTGCCGTCTAAACCAAAACAAACGGACGGCAGCTCCTCACGGAGAATGCCGTCAAACTGAAAGCAAAAGTAAAATATGTCCGGGCCCGGTCCTCTCTCGGGTTCCTCTGCCATCGTTCCTCCTTTTATCGTCCAGAGCTCCTTCCGTGGGATCCGAAGCAGGTTCGCACCGCAGGTGTATCTGCTTACGCGGTGGCCTCACTCCGTTCCAACTGCTCTCGGCCACGCCTCCTCGCCACAGTCAGACTGCACAAACATGGCTCCCATGTTACACTTTTTCAGCTATCATAAAATCAGACTGAATGACAATGATGACGTGCCAAACATGGAAGAAAACTTATCCAGAGTTCGACGTCATCCATGCATGACACTTTCACAATCCCACATTCTGGATTCCTCACAGCAAACATAAACAATCTATAGCAAAGATTCTGCATACATTACACCTCAATAATAAAACCAAGAAGTGCAAAAATTATTTTGACATTTCCCTGCAGATAACGCCATCAGATATAGCGATCAAATTAAAATCTTATTTTATTTGTCACATACACAGTGTGGTATGCAGTGAAATGCTTACATAAACACTCGTGACATTATAATAATAACAACAATAATAGCAACAAGAATCTACATTTTGGAGAAATATAAATACAATAGAAAATAAATGCAAATATAAAACATGTAAAGACTTTCAATGTAGAGTAGCTCCTACAGAGGAATTACCAACCTACGTCACACGTTCCCGGTTGTAAAAAGCGTCCGGTTGCAATAGCAAACATGTCGTGTTGTGTGGTAGGATGCCAAATTCGAAAAAAGTCTTCGAAAAAACTTTTACCGTACACCACACTGCTTTTAACGCCAACTGCAGACGTCTTTGGCTAAAAGAAAGCTGAATGAAGTGAGACTTATTTAAAAATGCTCATTTTATATCAGGTAAGTTGACGCTATGCTGAATCATACTCATTACTTATTTTTGATTGCAGCAATAATTTTAGCAAAAACAGTTAAATATGGTGAATTAAACTGCGGACACTGAATGCTAAGAATGAAATGTAAAAATGTAGGTTCACACACTCTGCCGTACAGGTGGAGTTCGCTGTCAGAATGCAGTTGTTTTGCTTGTTGGTGATTACCCAGGCCTTGTCAGTTTCGTCTTCTTTCCTTGTCTTTGGCTAGGCAGAACCTCGTTTTTTAGCACTACAAAGTTTTCAATCTGGCAATCATGGAACATTATTTCTTGCACATGACCACACAGAACAACATTGTTGGCATCTAAAGACTTGTAGGCCTTTAACTTCTCTCTTGTAAAATCACTTGGAGTTTCATGAGAGTTGTATATTTGGGGCTGGATGCTTGGTCATTTCGTCATTTTCGTATCTATTTGAAGGGTGTTATCGCAAACGTACGTGTCAGCTCACTTTAACGTTAATTTTGCCGACTCACTGTGCCTATCACTGGGTGACAAGCTGTTATAATATGCTGAAAGCATTAGGTAAATAATATATATAATATGTAATCAATGTAACTTATTTCTAAGAAAAAAATAAACTCTGTACCGCATCGGATGTCATTCCCTCGCTTTAAAAGCTAGCGCTCACGTTTTTTTTTGCAACCTCCCTGCGCGTACATCCTGAATGTTTACTAACATGGTAATTCATCTATTTGTTCTTGGTTTGACTCTGAATCACAATGTAAGAAAGTGTCTGAAATTTCCTGACCCTGCCAAAACTTCATTAGAGGGGAAATATGCAAGGTGTCTGCACATTGTCTGAAAAAGCCTTGTAAGAAACTAAGTCTGCCTTAATAAAACTTCTGTGTCTTTTCACAATTGCGTTCTATGCTCATTTCTTAACAAAGAGCTTAATTATCGTAGAAAGGAGAGTTCCTGAAGTTAAGTATTTAAATGATGACTTTGGAGTGATAATTCACTTACTGTAGCATGGGAAAGGTAGTGAGTCATCAAGAACCATCTGCTAATCTAAAGGCATTCTTTCAACCTCATCTATTTTAAACAGTGAGTGTTCTCACTCGTAAGTCCATCAAAGATCTGGGAACGGAAGAGAAACACCTTATTGTTAGGTCCCAAAAAGGCTTAAATTTGACTTGATGACACCTGCAGAAACCTTGATATGATTGCATTGTTGGTGAACATGTCAAACCAATGAACAAAGATCACAAATTTTATCCTAGGACTTTAGGAATCTTTTTGGATTTCCCAAATTTGTCTTAGACGAACAAATGGTGGCTGAAATCTAAGGGTGTCACGATCCTCCAAATCCTCGATTCGATTACATTTTCGATTCTAAAGGCACGATTCGATTCGATTTTCGATTATGAAAAAATAATTAATTAATGACCGATTCATTATTTGTAGCCTACCGTTTAAACTACCTGACCTGGATGGTCTTTGTTTTACCCATAAACAAATCATACAGTAAATGAATAAAGGCAAGATACACACATAATTACCACCTGTCAATCACTTTTTCTGCGGGACTCGTGAATAGGCAGTGATCTGTGTCGTTATAATGGCGTCGGTAAAAAAGACGCACAACCAACAGGAACCAGCCAACAGTATCTGAGGTGTTCGCTAAAATGACTAAATTCAAGTGAGTGAAAGATTGAAGCAGTCCTCTGACTGCCTGGACCTGCTGTCTCGAGCGCATGGCTGTGTGTGCGTCTGTGTCTGTGTGGTCACGTGATGTGCGTTTTCAGAGGTAGAGAGGAAGGAGGGCTGCTCAGAAATGCTACACGCCACTGTGGATGTCAAATCGTTGTCGTTCTAAAATGCCATTTAAAAACAAAGACAGTGTAAACAGGGCCTGAGTGTGTACTTTTCGCGAGCGGATTTGCAACGGGGGCGGGCGTAGGATCGCGATGCCGGTGTTGTCTATCAGACGAACCACCAATACGTACATAGCAGAGCTTGCAAAACTGTGTTTTTTTGTCGACAGCACGAATGTTGTCAACATAACTCACTGGAAATCCAAAATGCTTCCACACCGATGAACTTCATTAGAAGAGGAGAGGGTTTAAGCTCTGTCGACGGGTCTCCTGCTTCTGCAGTTTAACAAGCACTTCAACAAGCCTGTTTTTTTCCCGCTTGGCAAGCCAAGCTGACGTGACATGGGGGCATGGCAGCATCGACGACTCTATTTTTTGATTCGATAATCGAAATTGAGCATAAATTTCGATCGATTTTGATTAAAAATCGAAATCGTGACACCCCTACTGAAATCCCACAGTGTGAGCAGGGTATTAGTTCACAGCTTGCATGTTGTTGGAAAGGTCTGACATCATCCTTGAGAGTTTTTATATTTTTTATTTCAGGGCTTTGTGGTGGCACTTCTGTACTGTTTCCTAAATGGAGAAGTAAGTATTTCTGTAATGTAAATGTTCTGCACTGCATATTTCGTTTTTTTCTAAACCGATATGCTGTTGCCTGAATGTTTTTATATTTTCATGTGGTTGCTAGGGGAGTCCTTTATGGTTGCTAGGTAGCTGACAACTGGTTCAGATCATATAAGAAAGATGTCAAAACTCAAACCTCTTCGTTTACTGAAGGTGTTTTTCCCACTGGGTGAAAATCCAAAAATCTGTTCTCTTAGAAAAGCAATAACACACCTGAACAAGCTGCGTGATTTGATGGATCTAAAGAATATCCATACCATCAATTGTATGAGATCAGTATTGCACAAAACTAAGGTATATTACACTTTTAGAATGTATAGTAAAAAAAAGCTTACACCTTAAGGTTTTTAGGGCTCTACACTGATAACTGATTTCACCGCATGGACTAATAACCTTCTTTTTAGCTTCTAGACCTTCATTTTAGACTTTTACTCGTTTAAGTAGAGAAAAAAAAATTATGTATCATTATTATTTTTTAAATTCATAATAATGTTTCTAATGCCCTGTATGCCATGACTGCTTGGAGTCAGCTTGTTGAATAACATATAGAACAATTGGAGTTATATATTTTTCACAATTCTTTTTTCTTTAAATTAAGATGTTATACTATTTATATTGTATTCAGGTACTTTTTCTATAATACACAGTCTTAATTTGTTTGATGTAACGATTAATGATACACATCTTTGGTATTTTATTTGTTTTTTATAAGCTCAGCATCAGTGTTGGGTAAGTCACATAAAAAAAGTAAATAATTACTAATTACATCATTAAAATTGTATTTAAATTACTTCTATAATCATATTGTCTGAACAGTAACTTAATTATTGAATAAGGAATTTATTACTTGACTCAATACTACTAAAAGTCCATACCTCAATGCATATATAGACAACAGAAAATAAACATAAGTCTTTAAATCAGAGTTAAATTTTAGTTTTATTTAAAAAAAAAATACTAAATGTTAAAAATTATGTATAAAAAACATTTCAAATTAATGACACCATATTTTAAAATTGCCATATATTGTGATTCATCTTGTTCTGAATTTATTGTTCAATTGTTTTGATAAATGAAACCTTCTGTAGTTGAGAAATATCATTTTTCTGCTAAATATATTTGTACACTGTAAAAGCCAAAAGGTTAAGGTAACTCAAAACATTTGAGGAAAGTGATTGCAACAAACCATTTAAGTTCAAAGACTACTCCTAATGAGTACTGTGAACTTAATCCATGTGAGTAAATGAAGCAATCTGAGCACAGTAAAACCCAATAAATGAAGAGAACTCAAACCAACTGAGTTCTGTAAAACCCAATAAGTTAAGGCAACTTAAACCGTTTGATGAAACCGATTGCAACAAACCATTTGAGTAAAAAACAACAACAACTAATCTATACGAGTACTTTGAAGTTACTTCATTTAAGTTGAAGTAATGAGGTATTTAATTAACTCTTTACCTTCAACACTAAGTTCAAAACTCTTGTCAAATGAGTAGAAGTAACCTTCAGTCAACTTTAAGGTAACTACACTCATTTCATTTGATAATGTTGGGTTTTACGGTGTACAACAAAAAATATAGAATTACTCTGCTTCTCTAAATGGATTTACACAAAACTGTTGGAAGTACATCATACTAATATAATTAATATAGTTAAATGACCTAAAAATCAAAAGTAATACCTTTTGTAAAACTAATTGAATTACAGTAACTAGTTGTTTTGTAACTAATTACACCCACTCAGGATAAATGGAAATTAACATTTAAGTAGGGATAAAGGTTTTATTTAGTTCATATTTAGTTTTTAGTTTATTTTCATTTTAGTTATTTTTTCAGTTCATCACTTGGGTCACAGTGACCCTAAACATTGGGGCAGCACAGTAAATCTCAACATAACATGAAGGTAAAGATTGTTCCAGTGGAAAAATGATTAGTACACTGCACCATGTTGTATTCTTCCATCTTTTTGGCACATTTGCCCTTTTCATATTTCTCATATTAGGCACTAAACAGGGCTGTGAGATCAGGTGAGAAGCACGTTTCAGACATTTAAGTCAAAAATCACCAACATTAACTATGGTTTTGCTGTAGTTACACTAACATGACCTTTTGCAGTTTCTCTGTGGTGACATTTTAACATGATATTTTGTCAGAATTGCGCTGTTTTGATATTTAATGTGTTTATATATTATTAATGTATTGAAGGAGTAATGGACTATAATTGCAGTATTTATTTTTGATAAGTTGTATCAGTTGTTGTGCATGTGTATCATGTTAACTATTGTCATTAGGCTACTGTTGTTTCACAACAAATACAATAGAAACCAGTAAATAGGCTTCGTTTAGCCATGTAATACTGTGATGTTACTACAACATCAAGTTATGATAATGAAATGTATAAACGCTTCAATAACTCTCAAACCAAACTCCTGTCAAATACACATTTTTTTTAAGAGTCAAAACTATTAGAATTATCATTATTACTTGTAGTCAAATCAGGTGTTAGTGCCGAAATCTGTAGAACTTAATGCCAACGCTCTTAAATGATAGTTTGAAGTCTGGATTGTATTTGTTAACATTAAACAAATGTTAGTTAAAGAAACCAGCGATAACAATACACTTTAAAATATACAATAATCTGTTAGATAATGCTAATATCTGCATTTAACAAAAATGTGTATAAATACAGTTGAAGTCAGAATTATTAGCCCCCTTTTGATTTTTTTTCTTTTTTTTATATTTCCCAAATGATGTTTAACAGAGCAAGGAAATTTTCACAGTATGTCTGATAATATTTTTTCTTCTGGTGGAAGTCTTATTTGTTTTATTTTGGCTAGAATAAAAACAGTTTTACATTTTTTAAAAAACAATTTTGGGACAAAATTATTAGCCACTTTAAGCTAATTTTTTTTTCGAGTGCACAGAACAAACCATCGTTATACAATAACTTGCCTCATTACCCTAACCTGCCTAGTTCACCTTATTAACCTAGTTAAGCCTTTAAATGTCACTTTAAGCTGTATAGAAGTGTCTTGAAAAAATATCAAGTAAAATATTATTTACTGTCATCATGGCAAAGATAGAATAAATCAGTTATTAGAAATGAGTTATTAAAACTATTATGCTTAGAAATGTGCTGAAAGAATCTTCCCTCCATTAAACAGAAATTTGGGAAAAAAATTAACAGGGGCGCTAATAATACAGGGGGGCTAATAATTCTGACTTCAACTGTATATTTGCAATTTTTGGTGAATTTAAATACATTTAGCGTACCAATGTTAATAGATCAGGATGGAATCATTATCTGAAGCCCAAAAAATAGGACTGTGCCCATCATACATTACATAATGTGCAGACCGGTTGATTTTCATTAAATTGCTCTCAGAAGCATCCAAAATGATGTGTAAATCTGGGCAAAAGTCATGTAATACAAAACTACATGGTAACTTTAGGTTTGATGATACATCACTAGCTAAATCCCCTGAATCACCCCCCCCCCCCCCCCCCTCCCATCCACTACAGCAAGCTTAGTTACATACCGAGTCAGGAAGGATTTCCCTGGAATCTTTCATTCTTCCCCTGTGTGTATTTGCGTCATCTGTAAATAAAGAAAAGATCATGCTGCAAAGCCTTGTGAGGGAAGAGACAATAGCCGAATTTCACACTGAAAAAGACAATTAGCATGTAATCACAAGGTTTGCAAAAAAAAAAAAAATGCTTATTTTGCATCTTTTAACAGCCATGACAACTTGTATTTGGGACATTCTAAAATGTGTAATGTGAAAAAAGCTAAACGTGGCTTAATGTACCTAAACATTAACCAGAGAAACACAATTTTCTGTCAAACATTGCTTGTAATTAACCCTAACTACTGTAAAAAAAAAAAAGAACGAGTCCCAATTCCATAACTTAAAAAACATCACGTAAAGCATTTTCTCCCCCATTGAAGTCTATTAAAAGGAAAACGTGGGTAACATGGGTAAATGTACCTTAAGAGCAAGCAGGGGAAACCAAATTTCTATCAAATTTTACTCGTGATTAGCACTAACTACTAGCAAAAGAATAAGCCATGTTTCCACAGTCTCGGTTGTTGTAAAGTTACAATAAGCCTTTCCTTATTGGACTTCAATGGGGGAGAAAATGCTTAACGTGATATTGTTTACTTTATCTATGGAGTTAGGGCCCGTTCTTTTGACAAGAGTTAGTGTTATTCACAAGTAGAGTTTGACAGAAATGTGGGTTTCTCTGGTCATTGTTAAGGTACTTTGACCCACATTAAGCTGTTTCCTTATAGTGGACTTCTATAGGGAGAATGCTTGAAGTGATATTGTTCACTTGATACACTAAAATAAAAGCTTGTTCTTTTAAGAGCAGAAAGTGTTTATCATGAGTATATTTTTATAGAAATTTGATTGTCTCTGGATGTTGTGAAGTTAAACTACATTAGGGTCTTATAGTGGACTTCAATGGTAATAAAAGGCTTAACTTGACGTCATCCACCGAATCAGGGCTTGATCTTTTGAGTTTAGTTAGTGTTAATAACAAGTAAAATGTCATCGATTTTTGAAGTGTCCCAATTGTTGAGGTACTTTACGTTTCCTTTTATAACAGACTTTAACAGCTTTTTACAGTAGTTCACGTTAATTACAAGTAAAATTTGACTACAATTTGGGGTTTCTCTGGTTGATGTTTAGGTACATTAAGTCACGTTAAGCTTTTTTCACGTTAAGCATTTTAGATTAATTTCCATCGTTATCTTTTACGACTAGCCATTGTTTACGTTTTCAAAGTATTATATCAGGCTATTTGTAACTGATTTTAATGACACTACAACTTACCTGCTCCATATAACATTTTTTTGGTCTCTCTTTTTCATTGTTGGGGATTTTGATGATGTTAGTGACACTGATGAACAAATGTAAAGCCTTAAATCAGGGGTCACCAATCTCGGTCAAGGGCCAGTGTCCCTATAGGGTTTAGCTCCAACTTGCCTCAACACACCTGCCTGGATGTTTCAAGTATACCTAGTGAAAGCTTGATTAGCTTGTTCAGGTGTGTTTGATTAGGGTTGGAGCTAAAATCTTCTAGACACCAGCCCTCCAGGAACAAGTTTGGTGACCACTGCCTTAAATCTTCAGGTTCATGCGTGCTGAATGGTTGTTACTAAGGCCCCGTTTACACTAGTGCGTTTTAGTTTGAAAACGCATAAGTTTTGCTATGGTTACGCCATCCGTCCACACTACGCCGGAGTTCTCGAGCGCCGAAAACTGAGCTTTTTTAAAACGCTGGAGAGGAGTTTTCATTCTAAAACGCTGCTGCTCCGTCTCAGTGTGGATGGGGAAAGACGGAGACATCTGAAAACGGAGGCGGGGCTGCAAACGTTCGCCTATCTGATTGGGGCTTTTCCTCAATATTAAGTAGCCCACACACAGTTCAGTCTCGCATCCTCTTCTTGTAAGTTAAGACTACGCAAGTTTGATCAAGGCTGCAGTCTCCCCCTCTCAGTTTGATATGGAAAACATACAGAGGACACGGGTAAATCTTCAAAGGGAACAGTGTACTTTATAAGTTCATTCACATCACCTTGGCTACGTTGTTTCACTTTCTCAACAATAAAATGTAAACATGATTTAAGGAACAGCCTATTTTCTTTTTAATATAAGCATCTTAACAGACAGCAGAAATGTTGAGGCGCCGTGCTGCATATATGAGCGTCATCTTCACTGTGTGGATATTTATAACAAAACGGAGCCGATAACAACTGCCTCCTTTCAATTTCAGTGAAAATACGAAACATACACTCTCTTTTGCTGAATATCAGTTTTAATAATCGATAATTATAAAAGTATAACATACAATAATAGGATTATACATTGTAGGAAATAAAAGCAAGCGATCAGTCAATGTACCTGGATTAATCATTATCTTTGCGCTTAACCAAAAGATGTTACCCGTGAACAAGTAACTTAATAGATTCCAATGACCAAAGTCAGGGAATTGGCCTAGTCGTTAGATAAAAACAACAACATGAATGAAATATCACGTTTAGCAAATATAGTGAGATTAGATCCAGCGGGAGATGCTTGATGAGCAGTCCGACAAGCAGAGCTCTCATATGGGTAGAAATGCTGGAGCGATTGCCCGAGAGTGTGTGTGTGGTCACGTGATGTGCGTTTTCAGCGTTTTGGTGTGGACGGAGAGCTGTTCAGAAACGCTGGGTAAAACGCGAGTGTGGACGTGGATCGTTTTCATTCTACAACGCCGTTTTAAAACTAAAACGCACTAGTGTAAACGGGGCCTAAGGGATACAGCTCAGGCCGGAAGTTAAGGAGAATTATGTATATTATTTATTAAAGGACCGGGGGTGGGGGAAAGTTGGAGCACTCACTCTTTTTGCGAAAATTACAAATTGAACCAAAACAAAAGATTACAATTGGCTTAAGATTGGCAAGCAAAATTCGGAACCTTGCAACATGCAGAACCTGGGAAAAAGGAAGAAGAAAAAAAAAAAAAAAAAATATATATATATATATATATATATATATATATATATATATATATATATATATATATATATATATATATATATATATATATATATATAATATTAAATAACCCATTACAGTGTGTTTTATTGATGTCTACCCTAAAACTACACCTCACAGTAATGTAAAAATAGTAATTATTAATGTAGTGTCACAAAAAAACAACCAAAACATTGGAGATTCCTCCCCAGGAAACGTGTAGCTTTACACTTCACCTGCCAGAGGGCAAACATTACACGCTATGAAGATCATAAATGTCTCCACTTAATATAAACATTTTACATACATTTATTGTATGGGTTTCTTTCTCTTTCAGGTCCAGGCTGAGCTAAAGCGCAGGTTATGGACGTGGCAAACACAAACACACCTGAGCCCGTGTAAAAAGCGTCGTGTCACTGTAACTCAGATCATGATGCATGAGAGCGCGCATCCGCACAGTGACGTCTGTAATGGACACATCACGGCGGTATAAACACGCCACTGGATTATAAGACAGTATTATAAAATCTTTAAAAACTTTGAGCTTGATGACGACTGGCGTTCTGGAGTGTCAAAGATGTTCGAAACAGAGGAAATGACAGTGATCAAAGTATGTTGCATATGGAAGTATGCAGTTGCAGACATTGAGAAGTGCAGTTCATTTGATTGGCGAAGGCCTGATTGACATTTGAAACGGCTGATTGTATTTTTGATTGTGGGAAATAAGAATGATTTTAAAATATATATACTAAAAAACTACATCTTCATTCCCCTTAAGTGTGAAAGGGATTTAAAAAACGAATCATTTACTCACTTTCTACTTGCCATAGATATTAACCTTAGATGTTGCTTACGATGCTGTTGTCTATTGGAAGAAATGCGTCAATAGAGCCGCCATTTTAGTACAGGGTAGTGCTCCTTTGAAATGAATGTGGAAAAAAGGTGCAGTCGAGGACTGGCCATCTGCAGCCATAGATATATGCAGATATATACACATATCTATGATCGGGAGTTTTCCCGGTGGTCAGTATGCATTTGTTTTTTAATTATGAAAGTTATACATTTACATCACTTTGATGGATAATTGACCACACAGGTATTAAAAAACAAAGAGTGTTTGTGTGCATGAAAATGTATTATCCTCCCTCCCTGTTAAATTTAATCTAATCCATGTCCTGAAACACACCCTATCTCCTGCTTTCACTTTTAATTCTAACAGAGGGAGCGATTCATTTGTGAATGAATCCCCATTATGAACGACTTGACCTTCGAAACATCGATATCGCTGCGTCTCAATGTACATATCCACCTTTCTGATCTAAACGGTGTAAAACATTTGTAATATTCAATAATTTATGGTGGGGAGTATGCACATGTGGCGCAGTGGGTAGCACGTTCGCCTCACAGCAAGAAGGTCGCTGGTTCGATCCTCGGCTCAGTTGGCGTTTCTGTGTGGAGTTTGCATGTTCTCCCTGCGTTCACGTGGGTTTCCTCCGGGTACTCCGGTTTCCCCCACAGTCCAAAGACATGCGGTACAGGTGAATTGGGTAGGCTAAATTGTCCGTAGTGTATGAGTGTATGTGTGGATGTTTCCCAGAGATGGGTTGTGGCTGGAAGGGCATCCGCTGCGTAAAAACTTGCTGGATAACTTGTCGGTTCATTCCGCTGTGGCGACCCCAGATTAATAAAGGGACTAAGCTGACAAGAAAATGAATGAATGAATGAATGAGTATGCACATTGAAGCGCAGTCACTGTTATGTTATCAGCCACCCTTCAAAAACTAGTCGTTACTTCTCTTAGTCGACAATAATACAAGTTTCAAGCACCTCAGCATCTTGTTGTCATATTTCATTTACATTGTTTGCTGATTTTATTCAGGAAAACTAGCTTAAGCTTGGAATTTAGGTTGAATTGGTGCTACTTTGCCTTATGGTCAAGTGACTGTATCACCATTAATAATGTGACTGGTTGAGCACAAAGATTCGTAACATACAAAAACGTAAAAAACGAAATCTTCCATATAAAATCTTCTGCCTTTGTGCTGTTTTCTTTGTTTGCTCATTACTGAACCCGTACGTAGCCCAAAAAGTCCAGTATCTTCAGATTGGCTTTACTCTTGGCTAGTGCGGTTGAATGAGTTTTGTCCTGGAAGCACTGTACAAATGTGGCGGCGTTATTGAGGCATGCTCAGGGTCTGTATGCGATATCTAGTGTATATAGCGATATCTATGTCTACCTGCACTCTAAAAATGCAAGGTTATTTTAACCTTACCCAACATTGGGTCAATTATGGACAACCCCAAAGTTTACTTAATTGCTTTCAATTAAATTTGAATTACACTTTATATTTGAGTTTGTGCATGTATGTTTGACCCAATGTTGGGTTAAACAATCAGGCACTTTTTAGAGTTTGTTGAACATAGAAATATTTTCTGAAGAATTTTACATCCCAGCTAGCTTTATTTGTATAGCGATTTTACAATATAGCGCTTTTACAGTAGCCATTGATTTCTTTATTTCCCACTTGCTAATGGTTATTTTTCAGAAATGTATTTTGTGTTCAATGGAGGAAATAGGTTTGGAATCACTTGATTGTGAGTAATTGGTGAACATTTTTATTTTCAGATGAACCATCCCTTTAAAATTCTGTACATGTAGTAAACTACAGAGTTACTAATGTTACATTTCTGGTGACAAATATTTGTTATTGCTGATGGTACTGCAGATGCATCAATACTCAGGTTAGACATTTCTCATATGCCAGTGCTTTTTTTATCCACCATATCTTATTTGACTTTTTTTTATCATGGGAACAGACACACAATTTATAATGTGTGAGACTTTCAATGTCAGTGGTTTCAGTTTATTCACAGCTGTATACAGCAAACTACTTCATAAATGATTTTAAAGCATTGTCTTAATTAAAAACACATGTCAGTAGCACTGCACACTGTTTATTTATTTACTGCAACTAAAAGTATCACATATTTAAGGATCAAGACATAACATTAATATTCTGAACACTGACAAAAATATAATCATATAAAATCTTTGCAGCATATCGGTGTAGAAAATTAAATGAGAAATTCTTTTTAAGGTACACTGCTAAAGCTCTGTAATGTTTAATTTTTGAAGATTGTATTTCAGGATGCTTTGATGGTGAATAGAAAGTTAATAAGAACAATATTTATGTGAAATAAATGTTTTAGTAATGATACTTTGATTATTGCATCCTGCATAATAAATGTTATTATTTCATATAAATATGATATCATATATTAAACCGTTGCTACTTCACAAATGTCACTTTAGAGCTAGTATTTAAATGATTCTCTAGCATAATGTCTAAAGTAATGACAAAACAGGTGATTTTGCTCACATTTTAAGATTATAAAGCTGAACAACATGCCAGAGATTTCCCAGTTCTCTGTTGCAATCAGATCACAATAATTAACCCCGAAAAAGGCAAAGCAAAGCAAATACTAGCAGGTTACTATGCTTTAAATACAGCACTACAACATACAAAAGAGATTGACTAACCTGTCATTTAGAGAATGTCACTTACCTGTTTTATAATGATTTGATGAGCTGTAGTCTGAAGTTTTCCGCTTTTTCCTCCCTTAAGGATGTATTATGTGGTCTCTGTTGCCATCTTGGGGCAGAACGTCAACCCTCTTGAGACAGTCCTCGCTGCAGCCCGTAGCTTGATGATGTCGTTGACCAGGTCCGCTACATAGTCGATGATCGTCTAAACCTCCTCCTACCCTAAATCCCACCATCACAGTAGCATGGGGGCTACCTTAGTTGGCGGTACAAGGTCCGCTACATAGTTGACAATCGCCTACACCTCCCCCTACCCTAAACCCAACCGTTACAGTAGCATGGGCGTTACCTTAGTGGGCAGAACAAGGTCCACTACAAAATTGACGATGGCCTACGTCAGGCATGTCCAAACTCGGTCCTGGAGGGCCGGTGTCCTGTAAAGTTTAGTTCCAACCCCTATCAGACACACCTGGACTAGCCAATCAAGCCCTTACTAGGCTTTCTAGAAACATCTTAACAGGTATCTTGAGGCAAGTTGGAGATAAAATCTGCAGGACTCCCGCCTACAAGAGCGAGTTTGGACACCCCTGGCCTACGTCATCAAGCTGCAAGCTGCAGCAAGGACATCTTAACTTTCTTTGCTCTGCTCAATGACAGGCTAATGGCCGGCAACGAGCTGCATCTCAAAAATTATAAATATTTAAAATAGGCACTATCCTTATAAATAAACTGCATAGTTCAATTCAATTCAATTCAGCTTTATTTGTATAGCGCTTTTACAATGTAGATTGTGTCAAAGCAGCTTCACATAATGGTCATAGTAACTGGAACAGTGTAGGTCAGTTTTTAGTGTTCAGTTCAGTTCAGTTTAGCTCAGTTCAGTGTGATGTAATCATTACTGGGAGTTCAAACACTGAAGAGCAAATTCATCGATGCGTAGCTCTACCAATCCTGAACCATGCGAGCCAGTGGCGACAGCGAAGAGGGAAAAAAAACTTCACCTGATGGGAGTGAAAAAAAAAACCTTGAGAGAACCAGACTTAGTTCGGCACGACCATTTTAATTTCTCCGCTGGCCAAAAGTCTTGTGCAGAGCTTCAGTCACCGCGGTGGAAGCTGGAAGATGGCCACAGCGAAGACTCGTCTGTCCCTGGAGCGTTGCTGGAATCAGACACATGTTCTCACTCCCCATGACCATCAGAGCAGCAGCAGCTCAGGATATGGCCTAGTCCCGGATATGGAAACCTTGGGATCATCTCGTCGCTGGTCTTGGATGCAATTAGTGACTCTAGTTGCAGTCTAATCAGCTACATTCTCTCCTAACAAAGCCTCAAAAGTACATTATGTTGTCCAACTGCTACAATATTTGTCAAACTGTAGTGAGTTTATTGATCTGCTGTCACTCTGTGTGGGCGGAGTAATACACAAAGGTGAAGAGGAAGAGTGCTGTTACTGCAGAATATCGCACGACTATCAGCCAATTAGATTCGAGAACCAGACAGAACTGTTGTGAATAAATATATATTTATATAGAACTTTTATTTTGCAGGATGCATTAATTAATATATCAAGTAAATATTTATATCAAGTACATCAGCTGAATACCAATAACATTTGAGCACCGACACTGTAAATTTACTGTAAATGTTGTTACATAAATAAAACAGGCAATGACTACTTTTTAAAAAGGGAACTTTAAGTAATATCAATCAGTTCTGTGTTAAAGGCTCACACTACACAGAAAACGGTGTTTACAGTTGTAAAAGATGCATTGTGTTGCACTGTTTGTATCATTTAAATGATTCTACTTTGTACTTCTTTTAGCGGTTCTGACAGGTGATTTTGATTCCTTTCATACTGTTTTTACGATGCTTCTGCTTTGTATTAAATATGTATTATACCGAATCACAGCTGGACGTTTCTAATGTTTCATTTACGAGGTGCATCAAGTTTTCTACTGGTTTCTACTGGTACTTTTGCTTTCTATTGCAAAACACAAACCACAGCAGTCATTTAAAATTGCATTATTAAAATTCTAATTGTGAAATTACAATAAAACATTATTAAATAAATTATTAAGTGTTATTATTCGTATTATAATTATAATTACAGTAGCCCTGTTTTTGTTACTCTGTACATATTCAATTAAATTTTATTTATTTATAAAGCACTTTAAAACAACACCGTTGACCAAAGTGCTGACA